CCTGCTAAAAAGGCTATTTTTTCAATGAATTTTCACGTTTAAATTTTCATTTTTTGTCAATTCGTTTACAAGATATAGCCACCCAAAGTTGGGTGGTTTTAGGTGGTGTTTTTGTGTTATAGGTGTATGTTAGGTGGTATTTACACACAAACACTATATAAGTGTTGTTTGATAAAAGAATCACCCTGTATAGTATTAACGATTTTGAATCAAAGTGAAAGAATCAAAGAACATATTATAATCCATATAGATTTAAAAACTTTTAAATAATCAGTATATTTTTTCGAAAACAACGGTTCTTGAGTCAAATATTTGTTGATTTTAGTGCTCTCACGAGTTTCTGGTTGGTTTAAAAATGCAGATGGAATATGACATATTATCAGTACACCACATCCGTCATATGTGCCGGACCTTTTCGAATAGGCCATAAGAAATATTTACCTGTGAAGCCAGTCTACATTCCACTACTCTCGTGTTGAAGTCATTCGATGCCGCTTTGTTCTTGACGGCTAAACTCTGAGCCACGACGAACTTTGCGTCGGCTGGGAGCCGGAATTGTTTGACCACCAACGGATTGAAGTCGATGCGGGCCGCATAACCTATATAATATGCCAAAAATATGAAACAACGGAACATTTTCAAAAATATGGTGAAATATTATAATGAAATATTACATAAAATTATAAATTATTCAATAATAAATTATATAAAATCATATACGTTTACGTTCAGTCACCTTGTTTGGCGTTCACGGCTATCGCTTGATCCATACCACCACCTGCCGTGCCAATGTACCTCTCGCATTTTGCGCTGATTTCTGCCAGCTCCAGTTTACTGATCGACACCTATAAACAATAAGTCATCGTATATATTTTGCCTATATGGTACGCCGTCTTTGGACATAATTCCGGGGTTGTAAATAAATTTTGATATTTTCTTTTTTTTTTTATYACTGTAGCAAATATTGGGATATTATACGAAAAATACTGAGAAATTGACGTCCTTGTTTCATATATTTTATACATACGATTAYTTTTTAAACGAATCCAAGTAATTAGTAAATAATAGTTGAGTTTGGTTATTAAACAAACATATAGGTACATATTATATAACGTTAATATATTACTGTTATAAAACCTTAAGGCACGTACATGTTGTTAGTTTTGGGTTAATATTATTATTTTTAGTACACTTATTAAATTATTTTTGTATTCGTTAGGTATTAGTATATACATTGTAATTATTGTTACATTACTACCTATATKCTATAAACATAATATTATGTAGGCACAATAAGTACAAAAGTCAACAGGATTAATGCACTACCAACTCAACATAGGACCACCGATCCAACGCCGACTTCGACGCGGACGACCGCACGATCTACTTGCATAAACAAACATTCAAGCTAAGCCACCCAAACTTGTCTCTTCTCCATGCATGGTACATATTATGTTCAATATTAATTGTTAATTAATCATTAATTAACCTTATTATCTGTTTTTTTTTTCTAAACGTAATCTTGTTATAAAAGTCAAAAATTAAAAATTGTAAACACTATCTCTAGATATAGATAGCCTATTACTGTTGGCTAATTCCTAGTCTTATAAAATAAAATTTAAAAAAAAGGTACAATAAGTATACATCATAAACATAACATGAACATTATTATGCTGGATAGATATTAAGTCGCTTCTGTCTTGTAGTATATGTATTGTTGTAAGGCTATGGCCAAACATAAACATATGTAAGAGAACGACAATTTTCCGCGTTTACCATTAAACACATATGAACTTCGAGAATTAGTTTGTAAGTAATAATACAA